GCAGGTCGAGGCTGCGGTGGCTGGGAGCGGCCACTGCACTCCAGTCTGGGTGACAGAGTGAGACTCCAACTCAAAAAAAAAATAAAAAAAAATAAAAATAAAAAAAAATAAAAAAAAATAAAAAGGGGCAAAAGTCATGAACAGATAATTCTCAAAAGAAGACATACAAGCAGCCAACAAACACATGAAAAGTTGCTCAGCCTCACTAATCATCAGATAAATGCAAATCAAAACTACAGTGAGATACCACCTAACATCAGTAAGGATGACTGTCATTAAAAAGTCAAAAAAAACGACAGATGCTGGCAAGGCTGCGTAGAAAAGGAGTGCTTCTACACTATACTGTTGGTGGGAATGTAAGCTAGTCCAGCATTTGTGGAAAGCAGTTTGGCGAGATCTCAAAGAACTAAAAATAGAGCTACCATTCCATCCAGCAATCCTACTCCTGGGAATATACCCAAAGAAACACAAATAACTTCAAAAAAGACGTTTGCACACATATATTTATTGCAGCACTATCCACAATATCAAAAACATGGACCCAATCCAGATGTTCATCGAAGGTAGACTGAATAAAGAAAATGTAGTACGTATATATGATGGAATACTACACAACCATAAAGAAGAACAAGATAATGTCCTTTGAAGTAATAGGGATGCAGCTGGAGACCATCTAAGTGAACTATTACAGACACAAAAATATGAATACCACATGTTTTCACTTATAAGTGGGCACTAAACATTGGGCACACTGGCACAAGAATGGGACTGACAGATTCTGGGCATGGCTAAAGGAGAGAAGGAGGGAGGAAGAGGGGGATAAGGGACACCAAACCACCCACTGGGTACCACCACCACTGGGAGGGCAAGGGTTCATCAGAAGCCCAAACCTAGCCTTCATGAAATATATTATGTAACAAATCCTCACATATACCCCATGATTCTAAAACTTATAGATATAGTTTAGTTAAAATGTTTTTTTTTGTAAATATGAGGGTCTCACTATGATAGCCCAGACTGGTCTTGAATTCCTGGGATAAAACAATCCTCCCACCTCAGTTGTCCAAAGTGCTGGGATTACAGGGATGAGCTACCATGCCCAGCCTGATTCTTTCTTTTCTTTTTTTGCGTCGGGGTCTCACTCTGCCACCCAGGCTGAAGTACAGTGGCATGATCACACAGCAACTTTATGGGCTCGACTTCCTGGGCTCAGGAGATCCTTCTGTTTCAACCTCCTAAGTAGCTGGGACTATAGGTGTGCACCACCACATTTTTTGTAGAGACAAGATCTTCCTATGTTGCCCTGGCTGGTCTCATATTCCTGGGTTCAAGCAATTCTCCTGCCTCAGCCTCCCAAAGTTCTGGGATTAAAGGCAAGAGTCATCATGCCCAGCCTGATTATTTATTTAGAATAAATCATTAAAAGTGAAATTCATGGTCAATAAATTATAGACATTTTTAAGGCTTTTGATTCATACTGACAAATTGCATTTTAAAATGTGGCTTACCTCCTCTAGCAATTGAATAGAATTATTTTTGAAACTTAGTAGATTTGGAAATGTTTAAAAACCTAGTAGCCTAATCAAAATGTTTATATATGTATATTCAGTTACTTATGTATTTATTCATTTTTGAGTGGGAGTATCACTCTGTTGCCCAGGCTGGAGTGCAGTGGCATGCTGTTCATCACCACTGCAGCCTCGATCTGCTGGGCTTGGGCAATCCTTCCACCTCAGTCTTCCAAGTAGCTAGAACTACAGGTGCTTGCTACCAAGACCAGCTAATTTTTTATTTATTATAGAGATGAGGGCTTGCCAAGCTGTACAGGCTGGTCTAGAACCCGTGGGCTCAGGCAATCCTCTTACCTCGGCCTCCCAAAGTACTGGGATTATAGGTGTGAGCCACTGTGCCCAGCAGTTACTTTATAAAAGAGAAGAATATTTCCCTTTAGTCCAAATTATATTGACCTATTTTCTGCATATCATGCTAATAGACTGATTCTTGATTTGCAGCTTTCAGAAGCGAATTGCTGATTGCCGGCTTTGGCCTGTAGAAATAACAAGAGTTCCTCTTGTTACTGCACCCAAAGGGAAAGCAGGCAAATTTGATAAGGTAAATGTGTTCACTCAAAAGTGCCTATATATGAAATGCAGGATCAGACCCAACCTGTTATTCTGCTTCTCATTCTGATACCAAAGGAAAATGTGAATTGATATGGCTGTTCTCCCTAGGGTGACCAGCTCATCCTTATTTGCCCTAAACTGTTCTCACTTTAGCATTGAAAGTCTCATGTCCCAGGAATTCCATGTCCCAGAGAAAACCAGGATTATTGGCCACCCTAGATCCCTATTATTCACTAAAAATTGTTCAGACTTTATTCCCAGATATCCGATTTCCCTTTAGCCCTCCATTATAGTTTTACCACAGGTAAAACCATACAAAGTAGCCATTTTTCTAGGTCAGAGTGGTCAAATATTGGCAATATAGTTCAATTTAATACATTTTTCTGAATTTCTAATAGACTTATTTACTTAAAAATAATTAGCTAATTAGTGGAATAAGATTCATGGATATACAACTATTCTGAAAAGATAACTTTGATGAGATTAGAATGTGATCTCTGTTGTGTTACCTGTGAGTGTCTGGTCTTTTCTGCTTGTTCATAAATTCGCTGAGGGTAGGGATCATGTAGTAGACTGCTTCATAGTCTCCACAGTACCTGACTTGATGTATGGCACATAGTCGATACTTAATAAGTATCTAAAATTATTTGGTGACTTTTAAAGTAGACTTTTGCATAATAGAAAAATACTACCATGAACAACAACAGATGCTGATGAGGACTGAGAGAAAAGGGAACGCTTCTATACTACTGGCAGAAATGCAAACTAGTTTAACCTCTATGGAAAACAGTGTGATGATTCCTAGAATTAGAAATTAACCTTCTATATGACCTAGCAATCCCCCTACTGAGAATATACCCGGAGGATCTCAAGTCATTCTACAAAAAAGATACCTGCACATGCATGTTTATTGCAGCACTATTCACAATAGCAAAAAAATGGAACCAACCATGCTGCCCATCAAAACTGGACTGGATTTAAAAAATCTGATACATATACACGATGGAATATTACACAATCATAAAGAAGGACAAACCTATGGACTTCACAGCAACTTGGATGGACTTATAGTCTATAATACTCAGTGGTCTATCACAGAAACAAAGAACAGAGTACCATATGTTCTCACTCATAAGTGGACCCTAAACATTTACCATAATACTATAAGAAAGGATTGGCAGTAGCAGGATACTGCCGGGATGGTGGTGGGGACACAACATCAGTAAGGGTACCTGACCTCAAACCAGACAAAGTGGAGACCAAAGGGAGGCCCAAACTTTACCTATACGATGTCCACTTATATACCTAATCCTGAATTGTACTCCATAGCTTCAAAAAAAAAATACTACCACTTTGTAACCATGTCTCCCTTTGTAGTATATAATATGTATTTAGACTTCTAAACCACATAATGCTATCACATATACATAGAACTTCTTAATCTAGTTACTAATTATTGTTATAGGTAAAATCAAAGAGTTTACATTTAAGCTTGGAATTAAATGTGTTTTCTTCCACAAAATTCATTTTTTTCTTACAAAAATGTTCTACAGCCACTAAAAATGGTTTTCAACTATTTGTTTTTAACATGTTCTTCATCTTTTCAGTGAGAGTTAATTAATTAATTATTATTATTATTTTTTGAGTCACAGTCTCACTTCGTCGCCCAGACTGGAGTGCAGTGGCATGCTCACGACCACCCCAGCGTCGACCTGCTGGGCTCAGGCAGTCCTTCTGCCTCAGCCTTTCAAGTAGCCAAAACTACAGGCATGCACTACCATGCCCGACTAATTTTTTTTGATATATTGTAGAGACAAGATCTCACCAAATTGCTGGGGCTGGTCTCAAACCCCTGGGCTCAGGCAATCCTCTCACCTCAGCCTCCCAAACTGATGGGATTACAGGCTTGAGTTACCAAGCCCAGCCCCAGTGAGAGTTTAGATGAGGTCAGGTATGGCAAATATATGACAACAGACTATCAATTTATCTTCCTTTAGCGATCAAGCACTCTTTCCATTTGAACCCAGATAAATATATAGAATTTATCTCAACCAAGCATGTTAAAACCTGCACTGATTAATGGGAATGTAGGCATAAGATACAACCTGTTTGAGTATGTCTTGATTCAACTACTGCTTTACTATTTATTAACACTATTTATGTGCACTATCTCAGTGATCATGGTATTATTAGATCCATTTCAAACTGAAGCTCCAACTGTCTATGTGACTGGCTTGAAGTCACATAACTAGTTCTTTTCTAAAATTGAGTCTTGGCTGGGCTCGGTGGCTCAGCCTGTAATCCCAGCACTTTGGGAGGCCGAGGCAGGTGGATTCCCTGAGCCCATGGGTTCGAGACCAGCCCGGGAAACTTGGTGAGAGCTCGTCTCTACAATAAATAAAAAATTAGCCAAACATTGTAGCGTGTACCTGTAGTTCCGACTACTTGGAAGGCTGAGGTGGAAGGATTACCGGAGCTCAGCTGGTTGATACTGGAGTGGCCGTGAGTGTACCACTGCACTCCAGCCTGGGTGGCAGAGTGAGACTCCAACTCAAAAAAAATAAAATAAATAAAAATAAAACCGAGTTTTTGAACTGCTGAGTCAGTTGCTACATTGCTTTATAGCATTAACAACTCTCTGGTTTTATTCCTTTAGACTGAGGATGAAAATCAGCTTTCATTTCATGGTGTGGCTTATGTTAATATGGTCCCATTGCTGTATCCAGGTGTGAAGAGAATTCGAGGAGCTTTTCATGTTTACCCTTACCTAGACAGCATAGTTCATGAAAAGGTAAGAAAAAATTCATAAAAGAGATAATTTATCTTTATATGTGTTTACTTATATATTAAGCATGCATATCTTTGCAATTGATATTTAGAACCAGTGACATAGCAGTATATTAAATATAAGCCTTGCTGTTGTCTTGTCATTGGTAACCTTAAAAGCTTTAGGATAATAAAAAGTCAAAACTGAGCTGGGCTCGGTGGCTCAGCCTGTAATCCTGCACTTTGGGAGGCCGAGGTGAGTGGATTGCCTGAGCCCGTGGGCTTGAGACCTGCCTGGGCAACTTGGTAAGACCTCGTCTCTACAATAAATCAAAAAAATTAGCCAGGCGTGGTAGCACGTGCCTGTAGTTCCAGCTACGCGAAAGGCTGAGGCAGAAGGATCACCGGAGCCCAGCAGGTTGAGGCTGTGGTGCCCAGGAGTGGCCACTGCACTCCAGTTTGGGCAACAGAGTGAGACTCCAACTCAGAAAAACAAAACAAAAACAAAAAAAAAGTCAAAACTGGAAACCACCTGTATCTCAGTCAACAGGAGAACAGAAAAATTGTGTGGTACATCTATGCAGTGGAATACTACTGGACAATAAAAAGAAATGATACATTCCACAATTTGGATGAATCTCAAATGTATTATGCTAAATAAAATAAGCCAGATAAAAGAAAGTATTTACTATATGGTTCTATTTATATGTGATTCTAGGAAAGTAATATATATTACAAAAAGCAGATTTATGGTTGCTTGGGGACAAGGCTTGAGGGAGGGATGGAATGTAAAGGAATAAGGAAGATATTAGGGATGATGAAAATATTAGTTATCTTGATTGTGGTAATGGTTTCATGGGTGTATATATATGTCAAAATTGATGAAACCGTGTACTTTAAATATGCATGGTTTATTGTACTTCAATTTTATCTTAGTAAAGTTGAATATAAAACCTTTAGGATAATGGAAGAAGTCTGTTGTGCTAAGTATGCAAAAGAAAGACTGAAATCCATGTGGAATTAATGAGTTGGAATGTTTTATTCAATTCTCAGGTGTTAAAATGTTAGAATCACATATATAATCATATCATATATAATTATATATATTTATATATTCAAATAAAAAGTCAATTTTATCATGTTGCTTCTTAGGAGACAATGAGGCTTTGTAAAACATAACTACCACCACCACCACAAAATGTATTTTTTTTAAATTTTTTATTTTTTAATTTAAAGATGTGGGGTACAATTCAGCATTAGGTATACAAGTGGTCATCGTACAGGCAAAGTTTGTGCCTCTCTTTGGTCCCCATTTTGCTACTGCTGGTCCTTTTCTTATTGTATTATGGTAAATGTTCAGAGTCCACTTATGAGTGAGAACATGTGGTAGTAAAGTTTGAAGTCTGGAAATGTGATACCTCCTGCTTTGTTTCTTTTCCTAAGGATCCTTTTGGCTATTCATGGTTGTTTATGTTTCCATATGAATTTCTGTATTGTCATTTCCAGGTCTGAGAAGAATGATGTTGGTAATTTAATGGTCATTGTGTTGAATCTGTAGATTGCCTTTGGTAGAATAGACAACTTAACAATGTTGATTCTTCTTATTCATGAGCATGGAATATTTTTCCATTTGTTTGTGTCTTCTAGGGTTTCTTTGAGCAGTGTTTTGTAGTTTTCGTTGCGAAGGTCTTTCACTTCTCTGGTTAGGAAGATGCCGAGGTATTTATTTATTTTTGTGGTGAAATGTCTGTAAAACTTATAATAACCTGTAATAGCTTGCTTGATATAAGTAACTGCATTTTTGTTACAAATCCTCCATCTTAGCTGCTTGCTACCCAGATATAGCCCCCCCGCCCCAGGTGAGTGACTGAAATAAGTTCCTTGAACTCACAGATTCACAATCCTGTTTCCCATAAACTGTTTCTCCTGACCATTTAAAAACTCCCTAGCCACAAGTTCCATGTAATTGTATGCTTTGTTGACTGAACTCAAATGTTATGCCTTGCAAAACTCCATTGTTATATTCTCATATTATAAGCCCATATTTTGCTCGTAACCTAACCAAGGTTACTCCGTGACCTAACCAAGGTAACTCCATTGTATAGTAGTCCTTCCACCTTGCTCCATGTAACTGCCCTAATTGTTCCAGTCACCAGCTGTGCCTGGGACATAGAATTAATCAAAACTCCCTAACAATCAAAGTTCCCATTTTGGTTGCTAAATTGCTAGTCTATGGTTGCCATGGATGCTAAGTTGCTATGTAGCCTTGCGTTTTTTACCTTTATAAGCCCACTGCCTGCTTCACTCAGGGCTGAGGGCCCTTTAGGACAATAGTCCGCTCTCAGTCGCTGGCATAAATAAAGTACTCTTAATTAAATTCTCTGCATAATAGCAATCTACCTTCTCGCACTCCAGTCAGAACAGTGGCTGTTGAGAATGGGATTGTGCTTTTTATTTGTTTCTCTGCCTGTTTGTTGTTGGTATATAAGAATGCAACTCTCAGCCAAGCTCAGTGGCTCAGCCTGTAATACCACGCCTTTGGGAGGCTGAGGTGAGTGGATTGCCTGAGCCTGCGGGTTCGAGACCCGCCTAGACAGCGAGACCTCATCTCTGAAATAAATAAAAAAATCAGCCAGGCATGGTAGCACATGCCTGTAATTCCAGCTATTTGGAAGGCTGTAGCGGAAGGATCGCTGGAGTCCAGCAGGTGAGACTCCAACTCAAAAAAAAAAAAAAAGAAAAAGAATGCTACTCTCAGGCAACCCCCTTGGGTCCCTTTCTGCTCTGGGAACTTTTCTGTCCTTTCAATAAATCCTGCTTTCTTAAAAACAAAATCAAAAAAAGAATGCAACTGTCTTTTGCACATTTATTTTGTACCCTGAGACTTTGCCAAAGTCCTGTATCAGTGCAAGGTCTTACAGATTATCTTGGATTTTTGAGATATAGGATTATATAGTCAACCAAGAGGGATAAGTTGATTTCCTCTTTTCCTATTTGGATACCCCTGATTTTCTTCTTTTGTCTTATTACTCTAGCTAGGACTTCCATTACTTTGTTGAACAGGAGGGGTGAGAGGGGCAGCCTGTCTTATTCTGGTTTTCAGAGGAAATACTTCCAGTTTCTGTCCATTTAGCAACATGTTGGCTGTGGGTTTCTCGTAGATGGCGCTTACTATTTTGAGGTATGTTCTATGCCTAGGTGTTCAAGGATTTTTATCAAGAAGGGATGCTGAATTTTATTGAAAGCTTTTTCTGTGTTGAATGATATAATCATGTGTTTCTTGTTTTTACAGCTGTTGATGTATTTAATTAAATTTTTGGTCCTGAAAATGTTGAACCAGCCCTGCATCTCAGGGATGCAACCTATTTGGTCATGGTGGATAATTTTTGAGATGTGTTGTTGGATCTGATTTGCTAGAATCTTGTTGAGAATTTTTACATCTGTGTTTATCAGGGATATTGACCTGTAATTCTCTTTTTTTGTTGGATCTTTACCGGGTTTGGGTATCAGTGTAATATTAGCTTTGTAAAATTTTGGGGAGAATTCTGCCTTTTTCAATTGCCTGGAATACTTTCAGTAGGATTGGTATCAGCTTCTCCTTGTAAGTTTTGTAGAATTCTGCTGGGAAGTCTGGGCTCAATGGCTCAGTCTGTAAACCCAGCACTTTGAGAGGCTGAGGTGAATGGATTACCTGAGCTTGCCGATTCAAGACCAGCCCAGGCAACTTGGCAAGACCTCGTCTCTACAATAAATAAAAAATTAGCCAGGCATGGTAGCATACGCCTGTACTTCCAGCTACCTGGAAGGCTAAGATGGAAAGATCACCAGGGTCTAGCAGGTCGACGCTGGGGTGGCCGTGAGTGTGCCACACTACACTCCAGCCTGGGTGACTAGTGAGACTCCAGCTCAAAAAAACAGAACAAAATTCTTCTGGGAAGCTGTCTGGCCAGGGCTTTTTTTTTGTAGGTAGTTTTCTTATGACAGAGTCAATTTCCTGGGTTGTTATTAGTGTATTTAGTGTCTCAGTGTCTTCTTGGTTCCACCTTAGGAGGTTGTGTGATGTCAGAAAGTTCTCATTTCCTTTAGGTTACTGAGTTTGTTTCCATACAGGTGTGCATGGTAATCTCTGATAATTTTTTGTACTTCTTCAGGGTCAGTTGTGATTTGATCTTTTGCGTTTCTGATTGTGTTTATTTGGGCTTTTTCTTGGTCATTCTGGCTAGGGGTCCATCAATCTTGTTTATACTTTTAAAGAACCGACTTTTTGTTTTATTGATTTTTTTCTATGATATTTTTATCTCCTATGTCCCATATTTGGGCTTTTACTTTGGTGATCTGGATTCTTCTGCTGAAGTTAGAGTTTTGGTGGTCTTGCCTTCACAGCTCCCTTAGGCGATTTGTTAGGTTGTTAACTTGTGATCTATTTTCTTGATGTGTGTTCATAGAGATATAAATTCCTCTCTTAGAACTGTTTTTATGGCATACCAGAGGTTTTGGTAAGATGTGTCTTTGTTTTCGTTTGTTTCCAAGAATCATTTAATTTCTGTTTTGATTTCTGTGTTGACCCAGGAGTTGTTCAGCATCATGCCATTTAGCGTCCATGTCTTTGTGGGTTTTAGGAGCATTTTGTTGGTGTTGATGTTTATTTTTATTCCACTGTGATCTGACAAGATGCATGGCAGTGTTCTGACCTTATGAAATTTGTTTATGCTTGATTTTTGGCCAAGGACGTGATCGATCTTGGAGTATGCTCCATGTACAAAATGTATTATTATGCCATTGTTATTAGGACAGCTATTTTTCAATAATGGATTCATGAAAGATTCATCGTGTATTCATCACACCAACTGAGAATGCTGATAAACTTTTTATATTCAGTATCCTTTGAACCAGAAATTACATTTATAGGGATTTATCTGAAGGAAATAATTTAATAGGATCATACACATGAAAACTTTTTGGACACTTTGGGAGGCTGAGGTGAGTGGATTGCCTGAGCCCGTGGGTTCGAGACCCGCCTGGGCA